GGCCCCGGGGCCAGACCAGTTAGGGGCCTGCCGGATTGGTCCCACAGTGCCGAGGAGCGGCACTACGGGACCAACCCAGCACCCCAGCTGTTCTGCCTCGGGTGTCCCCAAGTCAGCCGCTGCTGAAACTGACCAGCTGCTGACTCCGGGAAGCTCGGGGCAGAGCAGCTCCAATTGTCCAGCTGCCTGGAGCACTTCTGGGTTCCAGGTGGTGCCGGACTATCAGGAGTGCCGGACCACTGGAGTTTTACTGTACTTAACATTTTTGCTGATAGTTTTTGTGCCTTTAGCTAGTTGATTTTCAAGTTGTTTTTGGCCTGCCTAACTATACAGGCAGTCCCCGGGTTACGTACAAGATAGGGACTGTAGGTTTGTTCTTAAGTTGAATCTGTATGTAAGTCGGAACTGGCGTCCAGATTCATTTGTAGAAAATTGACTTTTTGTTTTAAGTTTTATAGCACTTTATTATGTCTGTGCTTTTTACACCCAACAATGTCATCCCCTGCCCGGCTACGATTAAGTTGTTTAAACAAATGTGTTGCAATGGTAGAAAAAAAATGTCTGTGTCTGAAAACTTGTAGGTTCTGGGGGTACTTATAATGTTTTTTTTTAAGGGGTACTTTATAAAAAAAGGTTGAGAAACACTGGCATACGTACATACCGAACTGGGAGTGTTACATCAATGCTAATGAGGCTAATTCAATCCAGGTAAGCATGGCCCACTTCCAACAGCTGATAAGAAGATGAGCATACCTAAGGGAAAATTACCTATTGTAATGAACTAGCTGCTCCCAGTCCCAAGTCAGACCCATCCTGATGGTGTCAAGTCAGCCTATGAATTACTTCAAGAATAGTTTTTATATAGCAGGGGTTGCCTTCATATCTGGTATTGGCTGAATTTCACCTCCTCTTTGTCCATTGACAGGCAGGGCTGGATTAGCCAGTAGGCACAATAGGCACAGTGTCTAGGGCCTACAAAAATGGTTAGGGCCTACGAAAAAATGTAGGGCCTAAAAAATTCATAATTCACTGGAAAATCAGAAAAGAACACTGCTAAACCAAACTTAATAATTCGCTATCTTTGGTCAACAAACAACATACAGGTTTAACATACATTTAACTACAGGCAGTCCCCGGGTTACGTACAAGATAGTGACTGCAGACTGGGGGGGGGGCAAAGCAGAGCAAAGCAGAGCCAAGCCGCGGAGCACGTGGGCAGCGGACAGCCCTGTCTGCTGCCCGCGTGTTCCGCCGCTTTGCTTCCTCTCCCTGGTCTGCTGGAGACCAGGGAGAGGAAGGGCCCCGATCGTAACATAAGTCGGATCCGCGTAACTCGGGGACTGCCTGTACTTGACTGGCCAGAGTCTGGGTGGCCTCCATCTGAAGGATCCTTAGGAAAAGAATTCACCATCCACCAGAATAACCATGTATCTTGCTAAGGATGCTTCTGCAGTGCCTATTTTTTGAACCTCAGTAACAGAACTTTTTGGTTCTTGAAGTTAGTAAAAATCTAATATTGCATATAATAATGAGCTTACCCAGTTGAGTTTCTCACTTCTCTCTAATAATACCTTCAAAAAAGGAGCATAGGAGAGTCAAAACCTCAAGCTCAAAACCTTAGAATTTCCGTTTGCTCTGCCCTGTCTCCTTTTTGGGTTTCTTTATGGTGATGTCACTGCTCTCTGAGTTGATTGGGAGGCCAATATTGCCTGTTCCATTCAGAGCTCGGTGTTCTAGCAAAGTTAGAATACTCTGACTGGGAGCAGTTTGGACATCTTTCATCTCAGGTCAAGTGCCTGAGAGAGCTGCCCTGCATACAGAGCACCTTTGTGATTTTGCGACTGCTCACATGGCTGCTCTGCTATGTCCGAGAAAAGAGCAGTGGAGGCTGAGGATGGCTATGTCCAAGACTGCTCAAAGCCTGGATCAGGGAAGGCTTGAAGACTAATAAAATGCTCAAGTTGTCCCAAACAAGAGCCTAAACAGTAACTTTTTTAAAGGTTATGAGTTAAGCAAACTGCTGCTCTGGAAGCAGGATTTCAGGGAGGAGGAGTGTTGGCTTGCACAAGCTGTGCTGCAGCTCTGAGCCTCTTCATAAAACTGCAATGAAGAGAGTATTCTTACGTCTAGCAGAACTGCAGGAGATGGTGGGTTGCAGGAATTAATGGTAGAGAAAAACTGGTGATAGCAAGAACTCAACCAACATTGCTCTATTTAAGAATTAGTTCAGCTGTTTACCCAAGCCTTGCTGTCGTTTATAGAAAAACAAATTGATTCAACATTAATAACTTACATAATTTTTCAAATATATCCCATTCACAAGACTTCAGGGAACATTTTTGTGTTGTGTCTTGGGGTGAGGTGGAGGAGGGGTGGATAATTTGTTTATGCTGTGTGTCCTGTCCTAACTCCCAGCTAGACTGCTGGTGCCTGCAAGTTTGAGAAGCAAGATTTTATCTTCATTCCCAGCTGGGCTGAGGGGAGAGATTGCACAAGGGAGGATAGGTGGGAGTAACAGCATGGATGCTGGCATCTGTGCAGTGAGGTGGAGGCAGGGGGCAGTTTGTTTGGGGTGTCACAATTCACTTGCTGCATTCCTCTCTGGCTGGCTGGGTTGGAGTGGTGGCGGAGCAGGCTGCATGGGAGTTGGTGTGCCAGGACATTTGCATGATTACATTTCAAAAAAAGTTTACATAGGTGTTAACAACTTATGGTGAGAAAAAAGATTTTTTTAACAGATATTTTTTTGGAGTGTTGCAGATATCTAAAACTCTGATCTTAATGGTGGTTGTTTTTTTTTTTAAATTCTGTGTTACTAATTAGTACATGATAGATTATATTGCATTAAGGCCAGATCTTTGCTATGTCGTAGAGTTCTGGCTCTTATGAGTCAGAAGTAGCAAGTAATTGGTGTGATGCTAGTTGTTTTGTAGGATGAAACCTTATTTTCAAGCTCTTTGAAACATGCATTTGTCTACAAACCCTGAAGCCATGTGTTACTTTGTTCTGGGGCTTTTATTCTTTGAGTTGGTGATGCACACAAAGTTAAAGTTTCAAACTGGGAGAACTTTTATCTGTTTTTACAGGTCTCTCTGTTTCACGTGTTCTTATATAGCACGGATCCTAAACATTCCCCAGAGAAACTGAATAAGCCTTACTGAATACCTTTTATTAGCCTTTCCAATATCAGTCAATATTGTATTATTCATGTTCTCCTTGCAAATACTATTTCTAGTTGACTCATATATTTGTTTAACATCTTGAACCTGAGCTATGGGTGGATAATACGCATTTTGGTGTGTTTACTAGCTTGAGTTGTTAGAAAGGATGATGATACATGTACTCCAAGGGTAGTGTTAATTTTATTTTTCTTTGATTTCATATTAAATATCATACACATTGCTCCTTGAGAGAGTCTGAGCTGATATCACTGTGCTTTTTGATCTTCCCCCAATTGATAGGAAGAATATGGGATAGAGATTTCCTAAAAGGACTTCATTTTATTGAAATAGAAGGCCAAGGCTCTCCTAACATCCAACATATGTAGTATAGCTTCCCTGTTATGATGGGATGAATGGACTCCACTCTACAAACAATGAAGACAATCTTAACTCTGTCTATTACACCAGAACCTAGCTTACTTCTTGTAAAGTTCTGTGAGGTGCCTTTTTAATTTTACTACCTATACTGGCCCTCGTAGGAAAGTCTCAGTGCTGTATCATATGTAACTGTCCCTTCCTAGTTTTGTGGAGAAAAGACTAAACCCACAAACTCATTACGTCTGGGTGAATGGTTATTCCCCTTGCTATGGTGAATACATACATACCTCTGCTTCCATTTGATAAGCATTTTCTACTCTACTGAAATCCTTTGTCACTATCACATTTTCTTCCTGAAACAAAGTACAAGAGTATAATTGTAACCACAGCAGTTAATAATTTGTGTTCATATGTTACATGGTATATTCTAACTAAGGATGTTAAGGACTAGTCAACTATCTGAAAAGCAAATGCTTATCGGATAGTCAGTCGACTAGTCGTTTCCTCCACCTCTTGCTGCCTCTATCAGACAGAGGCAGCAAAGGGGGGGGGAGAGAGGGTACTTCAAAGCGGCAGCGCTGCACAGCTGAGCCTGAACAAGGTGGCATTTCAAAGCGGCAGCACCTGCATGGAGCCCACGGTCAGCTGGAGAGTCCATGTTGCGCTGCCGATTTGAAATGCACGCAGAGCCCGGGGTGAGCTGGGGACTCCCCAGCTGTTCCTGGGCTCCATATGACATTTCAGTGAAACCCAGGATCAGCTGGGGAATCCCCAGCTGACCCCGGGTTCTGCTGAAATGCCGCATGAAGCTTGGGATCAGTTGGGGAGTCTCCCCAGCTGACCCCGGGCTCTGCGTGGCATTTCAAATTGGCAGCGTAACATGGAGCCTGGGGTCACCAGAGCTGACTCCAGGCTCCATGAGGGCGCTTCCACTTTGAAATGCACAAGAGCCCCCACTGGGGACTCTTGTACATTTCAAAGCAGGAATATTGACTACTCAACTAGGAAATTAACTAATATTTAACATCCTTAATTCTAACTTTCCCTATTAGCATGTTACTGGTAGCTCAGAAACATACATAGGAAACTTGATACACCACTCTCTTCAGTTAGAATCTAGATGGAAGTTAAAGACTGCAAGTTTCTTTTGAAAAGTGATATGTCTAGTGTTCTGGACAGCAATGGTTCCTTTAATAAGCATTAAGCATTTAATAATGTTTCCCTCCATAATACATTTCAAAAGGAGCAGAAATTGAAAGTGGCAGTCAAATCTGTGTTTTTGGCAGTGTATTACTGCATAACACTCCATCCAACTTACGAAACAATGAGTTTAAAGAGAAAACAGTGTTTTCTAGACCCCTAAAAACATCTGCTTGTTGTCAGCAATCCCTAAGGTAATATGCACCCATCTATGGCACTATGTAATGACACAAGCATTTCTAGTTACCAGTTTGAGTCAGCTCAAATTATTACCATTGTGCATGAGGGTTGGTAGAATTAAACTTTTTTTAAAATTGGGATATAGTTATATTTGAGCATTTTTAGTAGTTTACATTTTCAGAACCACAAAAGTCTGGGTGTGATTGTTGATTATTTAATGACAGATGTTGAGGTTTAACAAGTTCAAGATTTAGAACTTTTAACACACAAATTGTGAAACAATACACAGGCTAGTATCTTTAAACTAAACTTAAGCTCTCAAGCATCATTTTTCTTAATCTGCCTATCAGTAAGTTTTGATTATTATCAATGGAAATATTTTATTAATTTATGTGTGTATGGTAAAACTGACATTTAATGACACTTACCAATAACAAACTAATCCTGCCAAGTTTACCTATAAAAATGGTTCAGAGGGGTAGCTGAGTTAGGGTATGTGTACACTACCACCCTAGTTCGAACTAGGGTGGTAGTGTACACATACCCTAACTCAGCTACCCCTCTGAACCATTTTTATAGGTAAACTTGGCAGGATTAGTTTGTTATTGGTAAGTGTCATTAAATGTCAGTTTTACCATACACACATAAATTAATAAAATATTTCCATTGATAATAATCAAAACTTACTGATAGGCAGATTAAGAAAAATGATGCTTGAGAGCTTTTTTTTATAAAAAATGGGTTTGGAAGTTTCAGTACAATTCCCAATGGACAAGTTTCAAGTGCAGTTAATTTTTTGCAGCCTCTTCAGTTAAGGCCAACAAATGATTTGACCATATTGACCAAATAGCACCACTTCAACAGAGAGGACATGAGTCAATTCAACTCTAAAAATGTACTTAGCTTATAAAATAGCTTCAAAATGTTTTTAAAAGCAATTCCTACAATATTTTTAATATCAGTAGACAGATGTAGTCCATTTATTTGGACATTCGTAGGAAACCTTTTTTCGCTCTTCTTCCAACCTCTGTTAAACACTGCATAGAAATAACCAAACTGACAAGACTAATAACAAACTGCTAAGTTGGTAATCGGAATAGAAAGAAGCAAAATGTCTCCCAAATCCATTCAAAATGTTTGAAGCCCATCCTCTCTCTCCACAGACTGAAGTACAATTGCTTGATTTGATAATTTATATGTGCTGCATATATATTTAAGGACACTGCCATCATGTGGTTTTGGGTCCTATTACAACATAAGTGGCGGTGAGACATTTTGTGTATCTGTTTTGATAATATTTCACAAGAAGTTCATATTTATCTCATCACATTCAACATTTGAAGTTAACAGTTTTTAGCAATAATCAATTCCAGATGAAGATAAGTGGAAAAATGTATGCTTAATTATATGATTATTAACTTTTACAATAATCTTCCCTTGGAGATTTTTTTTACTCCTATTTATAATGTTTTTCTCTTGAGATGTTCTTCCTCTTTCAGATAAGAGGAAGGTGAGGGAAGGATGGATATTAGTGGAGTTCTTAATCAGAATTATGACTTACTAGCAGAAAAGGAAAAGTTTATTGTAACTGCTATTATTTTTTTTTCCTTTTGAGGAGCTATCCGTTCAATCACACTAGACACATGAAAAAAACTAGTTTTATCAAGACAGGGGTGGGGGAACCTTTTTTGGGTCGGGGGCCACTGACCCATAGAAAAATCAGTTGGGAGCCACATACCACACAAATGTGAAGCAAATCCAAAAAACCCTCATTGACGTGGCTCCTGACTGAGAAGAAGAAAGACATTCCGCATATTTTCCTTCCACTCCAGAGCCTAGGCAGTGCCCAGGCTAGTATATTTTGTGTGCTCCTGCCCCACGATGGGACAGAGGGAAGTTGGAGCACCAGCACGGACTTCCCAATGTTGGGGAGGGGAGCCCTAAGTCTCAGGGGCCAGATCCAGGCAAGCTGGGGGCCATATCCAATCCCCGGGCCTAAGGTTCTCCAACCCTGCTTTATGATGAGCTTTACATTTGTGCTATGTTCTCAAAACTTGTGCAATGGTCTATTCCATTTTCTAAGTTTCAGTGGGACAAGACTGTAGGATAATTAATCATTCTAAATTGAAAAATTAACAGATCACATGTAAGGCATGTTATCTTATCCACTCTATCAATCTATAAATCTATTTTCAAAGGAATCACACATGTGCTTTGTTTACCAACTGTATTTTTCCAGGATTAATTAACTAAATCACTGTTCCAGAAAAAGGTCATTTATTTGTTTGTTTTGCAATAACATGTAGGATGTTCAGTCTTGTAACAGAATTTCTTTGTACTAGATGCTGTATAAACAAAATAAAAAGATCGTTCTTGTTGCAGAGATAAGTCTAAGGCTAAATATCCTACATGGGGGTGCTGTCTCTCTCTGCTTATCCATTTCCCCCCCACTCTCAAAGCATGAAAATCCTACAAAAGCTGCTACTACCATAAGCCTTGCACTGCCTGTAAATTTTCCTCTGCTAGGAGGTGCCACTTGGCAGCCAAGTCTGATTGCACCACAGATGCTGAAATGCATGACCATTCTAAACAAAATATGAAAGCTAATGCCAAGGTGAATAGCATCTAATTATGAAAAAGGAAATGTCCAAAGCTAGACGGTAAGTTTTGTTCCACTCTACTTTGGTTATCACTGAAAAAGAAACTTTTAACCCATATTACTTGATATGAAAGGTGTAAGACAAAGGTCATAAAGGAAGAAAAAACTTAAGTCTGAAAACATATGTTCTTAGTTTACAGTAGCATTGGCTATAACATTGTGTATTCATAGATTACCAATTAATATATCAGATACAACTGCCTTTTAAAAATCTTTGTATATATTTCTCCAAAGCTATTTTCCAATGTAACTTTTCACTATGACAAACAGTATGCAGGACAAAATGGAACAGCACTGGAAATATTCTATTTTTTAATTCTGCATTTATTGTTTCCCCTCCTTGGCATAAGGTTTTTTGTCTTGTTTTGTCGTAAAGTCCCATCTATGTACTCATGGGAAACAGTGTATTCTGACACCTCCCAAGTGCCCCAACCAATTAAAATATGACCCTAGACAGGTTATCTAGAATTGGAGACTATAACACCTAGATAAGGTCAATTGGTGTTCAAAGCATACTGCAATTATGTTTCACAAATGGGATTTGTGCTCTAATCCCACTTTCTCTCTCAACCATATCATGATGACATCTTGCATGCTTATAAAATTGACATTCCAACAGTCAAATATAAAAGATCTGTTACTTTAATAGCAGGGGAGATTTATAAACAACTGGCTAAATAAGAGTGCTTCCCCAAACATTTTACTTCTCTACAAGCCCCCACAGCAGATTCTATGTTTTGTGAATTGTGTACACTTAAAGCACTCTATAAATAAATGCTACTGTGTGGCTTATTTCTGATTAAAATCCTATGTAAATATATATGGAAGTTAGGTGCAGCCCTCAGGCTTTCTGTTAAACTGCAAATGCAGCTCTTACTGCTACAAAGGTTGTGCTGTACCGATCTACATAGTACAACTCCATAGTACAACAAAAATGATTAAGGAATGGGTGGGTAATAATTTTTCATGGGGGGCGGGCACTCCAAGAATTTGTAAAGTGGTCAAAGGCTGCACTGTTCCATATTAATGGAGGAGGTGCAGAGTCTAGGGGTGAAGGAGGCAGTTGTGACCTGAGTTCGGGGACTAAGGTGCAGAGGTTTGGGTTTTGACTTTGGGAAGAGGGGGCTGTGACCTGGGGCAGAGGACTGGGGTGCAAGATGGGTGGAGGGGTTTGGATTGTAACCTGGGGGAGAGGATTGGGCTGCAGGAGGGGGGACAGAGGACGTGGGTTGTGACATGAGGCAAGGGATTCAGGTGCAGAATCTGGGAGGGACTATGGGGGCAGAGGGCTATGTGGGGTGGAGGGTTGGGGTGCCAAAGGCAGGTTCTGGCCAGGAGACTTACCTGCTTGGCTCCTAGCCAGCAGCCTTCTCAAGCAGGCTCCTTGCCTGCCCAACCCCCACACTGGCTGTAGGGGCCATGTGGTTTTTGAACAGCTATGAGCCTAAGGGGAGGGGAAAGAGGGTGCTTCACAAACTGCCTGTTAGCAACAGGCAGCACCCATTGGCCAGAAACGAATCAATGGGTTTGTGCTGGGGAGTGGGAGCAGCACCTGAAGCATCTTCACCCCCTCCAGGCACACAGCTGTTCAAACAACCCCACAGCAGCTTTTCTCAGCAGCATGCAGGGGACAGTTAGGGAGTCTGCCTGAGGTTCCCCACTGCGTCTGTGGGCTGTATCTGGTGGGCCTGCGGAGGGTATTTTGCCCAGGCCTGGATTAAGAGGAATTGTGATATGGATTAACAAAGTGTACATATTTATCATTTGGCTAAATGATTCCCATATGCAGTAGTAATTGAAACAAAGCAATGCAACTTATACCACAGGGAAGTTACCCAGGAAGAAGAAAAACATACAACAAAATAAAATGGGACTTTAGGTTGCTGTTCTGTAAGTTACCATCACCCCGACACCTTACTGATACTGAGGTATCCATAACTAAATGTGGTATTTGGTGGTCTTCCCTGTAAACGTAAAGGAAAATTAACACCTCCCTTTTTAATGATGCGACGTCTACTCCTCCAGTCCAAGACTTTATTGACATTTTTTACAACTGTATCACACTGAATGTTCACATCTCAGCAGCAATCTACTCTCATTCCTAGGTCTCATCAGCATTACATTCTGAGACACAGTTTCTTTAAATTTATGTGCAACTTTTTCCCAAATAGGTAACTTGCTTTGACCCAGGTCAGACTTCAATTTGTATTTTTTTTCTGATCTCATTGGTTTTGCAGCATCTCCTATTTGAGTCTGATCTAGATCACACGATTCCTGAAATGCTGTGAAGAGCCTTCTGAAAATTATATCTGAAAGAGGACAGTGCATGCTTAGAAAGTGATTATGTAAGTGTCTGTTTATCATGCACCATGAAATGACTATATACATAGTATCATGAGCAAAACCCATTTCTTCAGATGAGGTAAGTCCGTTTTTCCGAACTCAGTCACAAACTAGGCTTCCATGAGTCACTTTTTCTTGGTCTTCCCACATTTTAAAAGATATTTAGTTGTATCTAGCAATCCCCTCAATGAAGTATGTCTGGTATTTTTTCTGAAGCTACCTGGTACTTCTACCCACAACTTTTTTTTCCCCTCAATAAAAAAAAAAATCTTTGGTGTTTCTCATAAAAAAAAAATTGTTTGATGTTCCTTGTCTTAAAAAGTTTAAGAAACACTGCTATAAAATTGTTTGTTTTCAGATCACATAGACTTTTTGAGATTTTTTTCCCTGTAAATAAAACTGCAGATCCCTCTCAAATAGTGTATAAGACACTGATTTTGAAATTGGGTTTGTGAAACTGTGATCTGAAAATTTCCTCAAGGCCCAACCCTGTATTTACTCAAAAACACCTTCCATATTTGAAAACTCTTCAGCTACGTCTACACTGCAGGCTTTTTGTGCAATAACAGTTGTTCTTGCCGCAAGTAAATGTACAGTACAGTGTTAGAAAACAGGGCTTCTTCTGGAAGAGTTATTCCTCTACCCATGAGGAATAAGCATGCTTGCACATGAGCTCTTCCACAATAAGGCAGTGTAGAAGGGCAACATGAGTTTCTTGTGCAAGAAACCCCTATGGCTAAAATGGCCATCAGAGCTTTCTTGCGTAAGAGAGTGTCCATACTGCCATGGATGCTCTTGCGCAAAAGCATGTCTATTGTGCAAAAGCACATGGCAGTGTGGACCCGCTCTTGTGGAAGACCTTTTGCACAAGAACTCTTGCACAAAACAGTTCTTGTGCGAGATGCCTGCAGTGTAGACGAATGGCTGGAACCTTTTGTAGCACCTTACTTGGATTAATAACTAACCCATACAAGTTAGGAGGCAGAAGGCACTTTCAGTAGAAAAACTTTGGGTTTCCCTGTGAGAAACCACTGAGGAAGGGCTGGCAAGTACTCTTTGAATATTTTTGGGTAAGACCATTCTGCGTGAGCAGCTGATCAAGAGGCCCAATGCTAGGCGATTCTCAGCGTGTATTTCCCCATCAGTAGCCACGCTTAGCAAGAAAAATACGACACGGGCAACCTGGAGTCTAACAGGACCGACTCAGTCCTGTTTGTACGACTCATGCGCCAGCTGCACCTATCGAAATAGAAATATCTTGCTGGGTGAATGCTTGGAGCTGAGCACCGTGTTCATACAGGCGGCTGCGTACTGGCAACCTCCACTCTTCCTCTCCGCAAAGGGGAGCGCGGTGCGTTTCAGGGCTGGCACTGCAGGGGTTGGGGGTTAGGCCGGGGGAGGGGGTAGCGTTTGCAGCCCGGGAGCACGGGAGTGGCTGGGGCAGCTCGCTCTCACCTGCACCCCGCGCTGCCGGGCGCTCTGCGCGATGTATTCCAGCCGCCGGATCACGCTGCTCCGCGCCTCCCCGGCCTCCCCCTTCCTGCTCCCCAGCCGGATGGAGACCCGCGCCCGGTCCGGGGCCGCGCACAGCTCCGCGCTACCGCTCACGTGAACCTCCCGCCCGGGTGGCGCTGGGGCGCTGCGGCCGCCGGGCAGCCCCGACACCGGCACGTTCCCCCGCTCGCCACCCCCGATTGGCGCTGCCAGCAGCTCCACGAATACCCGGGCGGGAGACGGCGGCAGCGCGGACAGCGACATTCTGCAGGCCCGTTACGGCACCATGGCAACCAACGCCACGGGGGCCGGAAAGCGCCCGCCCACGGCATCCTGGGAGTGACAGAACGCGGTCACGTGGGGCACCCGGGGTCTCGTCTTGTTATTGAGGCGGGATTTCCCACGCCCGAGCGCGAGGCTGTTGCTTCTGCGGGAGGAGGCGCCTACGGCCCAGCTTGTGGACTCCCACCGAGGCTTGTGCTTCCGTCGCGCGCCCCTCCTGCTGCGTCATGGGCACGCGCGTTCACAGCAGTCCTGGCGCAATGGCGCCATGCGTCCAGATCCAAGAAACACTGGAGACATTCCACAGAGATTTCAACAACCTACACCCCACCATCAACCTCAGCCTGGACCATCCCACACGAGAGATCCACTTCCTGGACACCACCGTACAAATCAACAATGGAAAATCAGACACCCCCCTCTACAGAAAACCCCCCGACTCATACAGTTTCCTACATGCTTCCAGCTCCCATCCAGAACACACCACACGATCCATCGTCTATAGGCCTAAGAGTGCTACAGAAATTTACAGTAAAGTAGTCATTGGAAGCAACTGTTAGTGGTGAAGACTATGTCACAAGAGCTGTTTCTACACACACACCCTGCACCACTGCCTCCACAGCCCAGCGTGGCAGGGGGCTCTCCAGGAGTGGGGTTAGGAAGACACTGGCTGCCAGTCCTGCCCCAGGGGACCATCAAATAATTGTGTAACTGATAATTGTGTAACCACATCAAATCTTATTAAATCAAACAACATTTAACATTCCTAGCTCAAATATGGAGCAAATCAGTGGTGATAGAAGATCATAATCTGACAGCTGTTGAGTAGTCCATCTAGAGCAAGTTTGGAGTCTGTATCTAGTTTTAATATGCAAGTGACCATATGACAAACTCAACCAAAAACACATGTAGTGTGCCACCTGTCAGCCTTAAAAGACAGATTAAAGATCACAGGACATACCACACTAATACCAACCCTGGTACCTTCCCTTGCAACAAACCCCGTTGCCAGCTTTGTCCACATATTCATTCTGCTGATACCATTATTGGACCTAACCAAGTGAGTTATAAGATCAAGCACACATATTCCTGCGCATCCAGAAATATAATCTATGCTATCGTGTGCCGAAAGTGTCCGTCTGCTATGTACATTGGACAAACATCTCAGACACTTCGCCAAAGGATTAATGCCCACAAAACAGATATCAGACAAGGTCACAAAGAAAAAACAGTTTCTTGCCATTTTAACCAGAAAGGACACTCTCTCAATGACTTAACCACCTGCATTCTGCTACAAAGACCTTTTACATCTGCACTTGAAAGGGAATCCTCTGAACTGTCATTCATGTTAAAATTCGACAAACATCCGGGAAGGAATGAACAAAGGATCAAACTATCTTACCCATTACCAAGATAGCTTCCCCAATTATCACCTCTAATACCATTAACTCACAGACATCTAACTCTCCCTACCCCTAATATAATTAATTCACAGACACTTACCTTCCTTCCTCCCCCCCCTGCATCCCCCTCCTGTTCTGAAATGTGATTTGTCCTTTTCATATGTGTTCATTTTTTTTAATTGTATCCTTTGGTATATATGGTTGTGTCTATTTTCTTCCACTATTTGATCTGAGGAAGTGGGTCTGGCCCACGAAAGCTCATCATCTAATAAACCATCTTGTTAGTCTTTAAAGTGCTACATAGTCCTGTATTTTGCTTCAGCTACACCAGACTAACATGGCTACATTTCTATTACTATTCTCCCCAGCACTAGTTCCATGTGCTGTCCTCCCCCCCCCAGGCAGCGGCGCAGAGGGGAGGGGAAGCTGCTTCAAAAAGCCTCGGTCCATGGCCTACCTGGGTTTATGGACAGAAGCTGCTCTGTGGCAGCAGCTCCTGTCAGGGTGTGGGGGTCGGGTGTCCAAGCTCCCTGTGGAAAGAAGCTGCTCAGGCATCCCATAGGGCACAGGGGCTGCTGCCATGCTGTATTGCTGTCTCTGTATATGAATAAGGACTGCAGTGTGAGGTGGCAAGCAGTAGCCGGTCTGTGCAGGAAGCCGGTTCCCCTTGCAAACTGGTTCCTGTCTGCTACCCTGTTCTGCTGTCCCTTATAGAAGCTCTGTGGGAGAGGAGATCCCTGGGAGTTGGGGTGGGAGCACGCTGGCTGCTGGCCCTGCCTCCAGGGACAGTCAAATAGTCATGTAACTTCTATAATCTGATGTGATTACTCAACTATTCAGTTATGCGCTGTATAACACAACATGTAATGTCTAATGAACACAAATCAGACATCAAGAAAGCTAGCATGAAAACCAGTAGGAGAAAACTTTAAACTTCTGGACACTTAGTAACAGATTTAAAGTTGGCCATTCTGTTACAAAAAAAAAAAAAAATCAAAGCCAAATTACAAAGAGAAACAACAGAGATGCAATTCATTTGCAAATTTAACACAAATTAGAACTGAATAATGACTTAAAATGGTTATCCCACTACAAAGGCAATTTTCCCTCTCTTGGAATTCACACCTACCCATCAACTGCTGGAAGTGAACCATATCCACTCACTGAATTGCCCTTGTTAAAACTGGTCCTACACTTGATAAGTATCTCCCTTCATTTGATATGCTAGTAAATATATCCATCCCCATCAGACACTGAACAATTGATCACTACTCATTGAGCCCAAGCATCTAGCCAGCTTTCTACAGCTTTTTACAGTCCATTTGTCCGATCTATATTTCTTTAACTTGCTGGCAAGAAAACTGTGGGAGTCTATATCAAAAGCTTTGCTAAAGTCAAGGTATATCACATCTACCACCTTCTCCATATCCACAGAGCCAGTTACCTCATGATAGAAGGCAATCAGGTTTGTCAGGCACGACTTTCCCTTGGGCTGTGTCTACACTGGCATGAATTTCCGGAACTGCTTAAAACGGAATACTATTCCGTTTTCAGTTTTTCTGGAAAAGGAGCATCTACATTGGCAGGCTGCTTTTCCAGTAAAGCCCTTTTTCCGGAAAAGCTTCTGTGGCCAATGTAGACACGCTTTTCCGGAAAAGAGCCCCGATCGCCATTTTCGCGATCGGGGCTTTTTTCCGTAAAAGACTACTGGGCTGTCTACACTGGCCCTTTTCCGGAACAGTGTTCCGGAATAAGGACTTATGCCCGAGCGGGAGCAGAATAGTTTTTCCGGAATAGCGGCTGATTTTGTACAGTAGAGCATCGTTGCTTTTCTGGAAATTCAAGGGCCAGTGTAGACAGCTTGCAGCTTATTCCGGAAAAGCGGCTGATTTTCCGGAATAAGTGGCCCAGTGTAGACACAGCCTTGGTGAATCCATGTTGACTATTCCTTGTCACTCCTCTCTTTGAAGTGTTTCAAATGGATTCCTTGAAGATCTCTTCCATGATTTTTCCAGGGACTAAGGTGAGGCTGACCTGTAAGTACATCCCTGGATTCACCTTCTTCCCTTTTTTAAAGATGGGCACTACTTTTGCCTTTTTCCCAATCAACTGGGACCTCCCATGATCACCACAAGTTTTCAAAGATAATGGACATTGGCTCTGTAATCATACCAGCATGTGAGCAACCACATCTTCACTTCCTATAAAACACAATAGACAATTGATTAATGACCTTATAAACATTGCACATTATGGGAGTTTGTTTTGCACGTGTAGGTCTGGAATTCTTTGCGGAATCTGATCTTTGGCCTTCCATCGCTTAAGATGGAAACTGTGAAACCATTTTTTAATCTCTTTCTTCCCAGACAATATTTCCACCTGATAGAATCTGGGTCCAGCTTTGTTGACTATATAGCAAGGTCCCATCCAACAGTAACTTAACGGATGTTGCTTTTTGCTATAATACTGGTATAACACCTGATCACCGACTTCCCGTTCTTGGTTTTGTAACTGGTCTCCTAATCTTTGGTCAACCTTATGCATATTTCTTTTAGATTGACCGCTACGGATTGCTGTATAGAAGATATGGTGTTAAGGATCTGCTGGATTTATGCTTCTGTCATCATCCGGGGTTTAAAACCGTCTGGCAGCATCCCTCCTTGCACCCACCATAATTCCAGGGTCCTCATTGGTCTCCCTAATAGGGCCTCATGCGGGGAGTATCCATTCACACTCATAGTAGACCGTATAGCCATTAGTATTATGGGCAAGTGTTCATCCCACTTTTTACCCGAGGACTCCACTACTTTGTACAGTCCAGTTTTTAATATCCTGATTGATCGTTCCACCAATCCCGAGGATGGTGGATGGCCCAGAATATGAAATTTCTGGCATATTCCCAACGCAATGCATATTTGTCTTGTTACGTCACCCGTGAAATGCGTCCCTTGGTCGTTGTTGATGACCCTCAGGAGACCAAACTGTGAAAATATGTCGTTGAGAAGTACTCTCGCCATAATCTTAGCTGAACAATTTGTGGTGGGAATCGCCTCGATCCATTTGGTGAAAGGATCCACGGCTACAAGCCAGTAAAGGTTACCTTTAGATGTTTTCAGTATTGGTCCTATGAAGTCAATCTGCAACCTATTCCAGGGACCATTTATAGGTCTGCTGTGAGAGTCATGTTTTGGATTATTTGGGGCACATCGTAGACAATTGTGAATGAAGTACTCCACATCGGTGTGGATTTGAGGCCACCATGCCACAGCAGAGAGCCTACCAAGAGTTTTCTCTACTCTGTAATGTCCCTGTGCATGAGATAGGGATATTAACTCTTGTCTGAGTACGGTGGGCATAATTAAAACTGGAGTTTCTTCATCACTCAATGATTCTGTCTGTCTCCATGCCATGATTATTCCGGTATGGTGCTTAAAGATTCCGTAATTCTTAAATTTCTCTTGCTGCGCCAGTTTAATGATTTCTCAATCCGAAGTTTGTAATTTTATAATGTCCATCATTTCCTTATTACCCATTGGTTCAACTGAGTTAAACACTTCAGAGGCTATTCTCTATGATTGATTCGGGGGTAATGTCGCTGCCTTTTTTGCTAATCTACATGGTTATTAAAATTAGAAATTTCCGCTTGTTTTTTCCAGTGTGCGCTCATCTTAAACAAGTAAGTTTTTCCTTTCCGCAGCTTTACCAAGTTCTATGCATGGTTTAATAAGTTGGCATTCCGTGTTCCCTCCAAACCAGCATTCAGTCAATAAGCGACCTGAGTACCCAGTCGGAGTCCGTGCAAATAGTGATATCTTGTTCTGATGGGCTGTTTTCAAGAGCTAAGATCACTGGGACAATTTCAGCAGCTTGTGCGGATATGACCAAGATAGGCTTTAATATTTCAGTTTCCAAAGTCACATGTAATGCGGCTGCTCCCGCTGTCCATT